AGAGACTCTGTCTCAAAAAAAAAAAAAAAAAGAAAAGAATGCTGAACATATGCTCCCAGTCGCTTTTGGTTTGTATGGGTTTCTGTTGAAAGGTCTGCTGTTAGCCTGATGTGTCTCCAAGTTTTAAAATATTTAAATAGATGTGCCAATTTTCACTATATAAATTCTGAAGTGATGTATGAAAGTATATAATACATGTGGTTTAACACCTGAAATAAAATCATTCACAAAATATCTTAGTATAAGAATGAGGTTACTTATTGTTTGCCTATACTTGTGATAATTTTAAAGACAGACCCCTATAGGCACTGCTTTAAGATGTTAAAAGACGTTAATGTTTGAACTGCAAACTGGTAGCATTTACGGTGTTAGCAAAAAATGGGACATGAGCACTGGTGTTGGAAGGATACTTTTAAGTGGTTCTGTGGTTCATGAGTTTAAAGAATTAAGCTTTATATCAGAGTTTTTCTTCATTAATAAAATAATGACCCTTTATTTAGTCGGTTTATGACCGCCTAAAATATGAACATTTTTCAATTTGATACCAGTTTTTCCAGGTTGTATGGCCGTGGAAATTCTGCTTCTTGTATTCAGTAACCCTTAGAGTTTTCTGTTTTTTCTCATTCACTGCCACTGACTGTTCTTCTGTCCAGTTATACTGGTAGTTTCCTCATATACTGGTAAGATTAGTGAGGTCATCTGTGTGAAGTGGTAAGCATAGTGCCAGGCACATGATAAGTGCTAAATACATGTCAGTGACTTTTATTATTACTTTACACTCTTATCTGCCACATCTAATATACTTCATGCCTCACCTTTCTGGTACCAGAAGTCAATTAATTACTCCCTGTTTGCTGAAACATGCCTTTCATTGTATTCCTTAGATTACATTGGTTTGTGTTAGGAGACTCTAACCTTTGCTAGAAGGTTAGACATAACTCATGTCTAAGAAATGTTGACATAACTCATGGTTAAGTTCCTATTGAATAGACTTTTACAACTTTTACAGTCTGGCTTGTGACTTAATCTCCATTTAATACTAGTTGCTGTAAGATGGAAACCATTTTAAGTCTTAAATAACTGGTTTATGAGTATAATGGATTGCCTGTACTGTATTCTGAAATTCAGACATCAAAAAAGATGTTCCAGTCTTCCTTGAATTCTTTTTTTTGTCCATGTAATAGCTGGCATGTTTAAAATTCAAAAGATTATGTAACAAAAATACATAATGAGAAAATATTTCCTTCCTATTTTTGACCCACATTCAACCATTTCCCTCCCTAAACGAAACCAGCTTTACCTGTTTTGTTAAATTTTTTGATTTTGTAGTGAGTGTGTATATTTCAACTTAATGTAATGGGGCACTTTAGTATGTTCTAGGTCTACCAGTTGTCTTTATATTTCACTTTATGACTTTGGGTGCCTACTGGTTCAAAAATACATGTGACATAGAACTTCCTAAAATGAACTTGATGTTCCAGATAATGCAGACCATTTAAATACAAGTAGCACAGAGAAAACTCTTTGTACTCAGTTTGTTTCTGACCACTATTCAAAATTGCCAGGAACTCTTTAATTGGGTCTTTTTAGGCTGATGTCTGACTCCTCTTACCTACAGTCTCCTCATTTTTTCCTCCATTTTTGTTTTGACTTAACTACTACTCTAGTAATTGCAAATCAAGTGAAGAAAATACAAGAATTGTCATATGCCCTAATCTGCAAATAATATAATAATTCTATAACACAGTTATTGTTAATTTCATTTATTTTGAATTTTGGTAGAGAATTATAACTTTATTACTCCAGAAGTTATATGGAATCTATTTTAAAATGAAGACGTGATTTAAGAAGGCAAATAGTGAACTAATATCTTTTTCTTTATTTAATATTAAGTTAGTTAGCGTAAATGACTATTTAATATTTTTAAAATTCCAACACATTCAGTCTTTGAAAATGTACTTTGATATATTGTCTTCCCATCCCCTAGGAAGTATTTAAAGAAAGAATTGGTTATACACATATGTTTGAAGTATTAAAATCCCTGGGTCAGCCACCACTGGAATTACTTAAAGAACTTATGAATATGGTGAGTTTATAACTTTTATTAAGAGAACTTCTGTTAATATCCGTTTTGAAAATGGTAACTAACCTTTTATCTTTTTTGTTGCTTTTCAGGCTGTAGAGGGTGACCACACTTCAGTTGGAATTTTGGGCATTAGTAATGTCCAACCTCTCTTGCTTCTTATCCAGTGGCTTCCAGAACTACAATCCCATGACCTGCAAATCTTCATCTCTGATTGGCTGAAAAGAATTTGTTGTATTAATAGACAGAGTCGAACTACTTGTGTCAATGCAAACATGGGGATTAGAATCATTGAAACCCTTGACTCGCATTCTTCCCTCCATCAAACTTGTGCTGAGAACTTGATTGCAATCCATGGTTCCTTGGGGAGTCAGTCAGTGAGCTCAGAAGAAATCCGTCGACTACTAAGATTGCTGAGAGTGGATGAATCTGAGTCTATTCACCCTTATATCACTCCTGTGACTCGAGCAATCCTGACAATGGCTCGAAAACTAAGTCTAGAGAGTGCCCTCCAATATTTTGATTTGTCACATAGTATGGCAGGAATTTCTGTGCCTCCCATACAGAAATGGCCGGGGTCCGCCTTTTCTTTCAGTGCTTGGTTTTGCTTAGATCAGGATCAATTGACTCTTGGCATTGCTAACAAAGGAGGGAAAAGGAAACAATTGTACAGGTATTGGTAAAAATTATGGAATATAAATGAATACTGTCATAACAATATGTGCTGTGATTCTTAAACAGGAAAACTGTTTCCAAGCATCTAGCTTTTAGATGTACAATTTATCTAAAGCCTCTTCATCCTGAGGCTTTATACAGTTTAATTGTAAGTGCTCTATTGCTTTCATAGTAATAGCTATATACCTCAAATATTGCTGGTTAAGTTTTGAGGCTACTTTGGAAACAAGTTTCCCTCTTAAAAGTAGTGTAAAAGTGAAAGGAAAAATGAGTAATAATCTTGAAAATGGGCCAGGTGTGGTGGCACGCTTGTAATCCCACCACTTTAGGAGGTAGAGGCAGGTGCATTGCTTGAGGCCAGGAGTTCAAGACTAGCCTGGGCAACATGGCAAAACCTTATCTCTACAAAAAATATAAAAATTAGCCAGGTGTGGTGGCACACACCTGTAGTCCCAGCTACTTGAGGATCACTTCAGCTCAGGAAGTTGAGGCTACAGTGAGCTGTGATTGCACCACTGCACTTCAACCTGGGTGACAAAGCAAGATGTCACACACAGAAAAACTCCATGAAAATGAATAATGGCCAGGTGTGGTGGCTCACACCTGTAACCCTAGCACTTTAAGCAGTTGAGGTGGGCGAATCACTTGAGGTCAGGAATTCAAGACCAGCATGGTCAGTATGGAGAAACACCGTCTGTACTAAAAATATAGAAATTAGCTGGGTGTGGTGGTGCATGCCTGTAATCCCAGCTACTTGGGAGACTGAGGCACAAGAATCACTTGAATCCAGAAAGCAGAGATTGCAGTGAGCTGAGATTGTACCACTGCACTCCAGCCTAGGCGATAGAGGAAGATTTTCCTCAAAAAAAAAGGAAAAAAAATGAGTAATGATTTCTATTCCATTGAATATACTATAAGTATATATTACATATAAATATGCTATATATTTACATGAAGGAACAGAAAACCTATGTGTATGTACATCCAGAATTTAATAGCTACTACTTTTTAATATGCCTTGTGTTTTTTGTTTTTTTTTTTTTT